ATGGGAAGCCAGCAAGAGCCTAGGCTTATTGCAGCACAAATAAGGGAAGATTCAGGGTCACCTGATCCACTATAACTGTATTATTTGTCAAAACTGAGGGTTTTAATGCTAATCTCAAAAGCAGAGACGGGTGTTTGTCTTCTGAATTAATTTAGAATAGAATAGAATAGAATAGAATTCAACTTTATTGTCATTGCACATGTCACAGGTACAAGGCAACGAAATGCAGTTTGCATCCATCAAGAAGTATATATTGTAATAGATGTATTACAATATATATTAGCAATAATATAGGTATGTAAGTATATTACAGAAATGGGTCTATTATGGTATGTTACAATGTACACAGTATGAAGTAAGCTATGAATATGCTATAACTATAAGTATGTACAGGCTGTAGTGAGTACAAGCTATGAACAGGATATAAATATGAAAAACTATACAGAATATGAAATAAAAAAAACTATACAGAAGTATGAGATATACAGCTATACAGAAATGTGAACTATGCAGGTTATAAACCGTTGCAGAATTAAAAATTATCGTTTTGTACAGAATGATGTGAGCTGCATCCACAGAAGAGAGGTCTAAGAGATGAAGACTCTGATTCCTGTTCAACATTAAAATTCTATACAAACCACAAGTACACCTAATATTCTAAAATTAAAATCTGGATTTCAAAGCGAGTCAGTGAAGACAAGCAAATATGCTGTCTCTTTATAGTCCCTGTCATGACTCTCTCCGCAGCACTTTTGATCCATCAATATTAAACAATTATTGATGCATCGGATTGAGATGAAACCTAGCCCACAGGTACAGTAGGTGTCCCAGAGGAGGGATGTGTTGAAAGTTGGACATCAACTACTCAGGATGATTTTTAATGAATTTTTGAAAATTGACATAATTCTATTGTACTGACTGTATTAGATTGAATAAATGTTTCCATTAATTTCAGAGGAATTCTACAGTAAATCTGGATGAAACCTGGCACACAGGTACAGTATGTGTCCCAGAGGGGGGATGTGTTGAAAGTTGGACATCAACTACTCAGGATGATTTTTAATGAATTTCTGACATTTCCAAAATTGTATTGACTGTATCGGGCTGTTACATTGTAATTTGTGCTCGCGCATGCGCGTGCGACTGTTCGCGCGCGTGCACGTGTGCGCGGGTATAGGCTTTCAATCGGTACGTAAAGCGAAAAGGCGCTACCGTAAAGACTCGTGTAAAAGCGCAAGGAAATTTATGCGGCGGATAGGAGGCGGCTGGCTTGACCGCGGCTCACAAATGACGGCTCACTTTACCGCGGTCTGCGACTGGAGCCTCCAGCCCGAAGCCGAGGCCCTCAGCCCCTAGCCTTCGAGCGCAGCCGTCAATCACAGCTCTACAGCCCAAGCCTTCTCTCCATATCTCTGGCTCGGCTTCTCAGTCACTCCGGTCACTCTCTTTCGTCCCTTCCGTTTCGAGCCTCCAGCCCGAAGCCGAGGCGCTCAGCCTCTGGCCTTTGAGCGCAACTCCTCAAAGCAAAGCTTTCCTTGTCATTCGTCCTCAAAAAGCGCCCTTTTCTGTCGTCTACCCAGCCCTCTTATTGGCCTCTCTGGTACCTCTCAGGTGAAATCAAGTTAGTAATCAGATAGGGGTGGAGTCTTTACAGGACAGTTGTTCAATTAAATAAGATAAAAACATGCAATAGAACTCATACAAACAAACCCAATATACAATATTAAAATATTAAACAGATAAAACGTCGCAAAACATGCACAGTAAAAACTCCAAATAACTTGTCCCGTTTCACCCCGTGACATTTACACCACAGGTCTGGGTGGGTTAAGCAGTGTTACAGTAGTGATATCAAGTTCAAACGTTCAGCTGGAGTGACAATAGGGGGTGGTGTTGATATCACAGGTTATAATTCAAGAGTTAGTGTGATTAAGTGAACCAGTTTGTAAAGACATAGTAACGCTACCTGCGGCTACAAATGTGTTGCTCCTCTATTCTAGGTATTACCGTACAGGTGACGGTAAACAAACAGACAATTTTAAAGCAGTGCTTTTGTAATAAGTAAAACTGCACTACAGAGACGTGATCATTTTAATTCAAATGGATAGAAAATTCTGCTCAGATTACATTATAAAATATTTTAGCACTGGAAGAAGAATTCACTGAGAGGTGACTCAAAATCCTCAGTGGGTTCTGACTCAGGCTGACTTCACATCTGTCACTGGTAACTGTCTTTTTATATTACAGCAAAGTGTTTGAAATTTTTAAATGGAAAAAAATTAAATTAATAGCTGAGCTTAATCTTACAGAGAATGATCATGTAGAAACAAACAAACAAATGAACAAAAGATTTTCTCCTTCATTTCTGTCAAACAAAGCTGTATGAAACGTTTCCAGCTGATCTCTGAATCGTTGTGGATCCACTATTGATTACTGAAGGGCAGCTTTTTCTCCCGTGGAGCAAAAGTTATTGTTGTTGTTTTTTTTCCTGCTGTGGAGGAAAAGCTTTTTATATCATGGTTGCTAGGCAACCTGGGCAGCGCGACGGAGGCTAGACCGTCCCACTTTACAAGCCTCGCACTTCCGGCCTTAGCGGTCTTTGAGTACGCCGCCCTTGTGGACCGTTAAGGCTGCTTACTTTAAGGCTGCAGACCCTGAATTGGGATACAGCCCATGACATGGATTCCTGTTTGTATGCTTGTACCATAATGTCCAGAATAGAGGAACTGCAAAATTCAAACGTACCATAATGCAAGAGGACAACGTAGTGGTGAACCTGGCACTTTAAATAGTGAAGCAATGCCATTTCAGACAAGAGAAAGAATGTTAATAAACCTTAAATCTCATGCCTGTGTTGCTGACAACATCATTTTTATTAGTTTATTGATTTAAAATGAAAAAGATTTGCATGTAATCATAACCCCAAAGCTTTGACTCTGTGTCTCTTTGTTAAAGAAAAGTGGACTGTGATATACCGAAGGGATCTGATCAACTCAAACAGCTGGAGGCAATAAACACAACTTCACCTCCTGTTTGTCCGAACTAGGATTAGGCTGCATTCACTGGTGCATATCACTAATAATCTCTAACAGATCCGTGTGCCTCCAGCAAATCATGTTAGGGTTTACATGCATTACTTGCATTTAAAAAAAACATAAAATTCAAACAAGAATATCAACCACATATATGCAATTTTATTAGGGTAGCATGATGCTGTGCTGGTTCATGACATTGTCTCCCAATAAGAAGGTCCAGGGTTTGATCCTGCCGGACCTTCTGTGTGAAGTTTCATGTTCCTCCCACAGTCCAAAAACATGCATGTTAAGTTACTTGGTGACTCTAAGGTGCCTCTTAAACTATAGCTGCTGGGATAGGCTTTTGCCGAATCATAACACTTAATTGGATAAGCAGTAGAAAATAGATGTATGAACAATTTTCTAAACTAATTCTAGAATTCAAAACGTATCTTATCAAACTTCCTCCGTGAGGGAACTTTCTTCATGTTAAAAGTGAAGCCACCAAGTGCTGCTTATTTGAGGCTGGGGCTCTCTGTCTAATGTTGTCAGCACCTTAACCTGACATTGAGATACTGATTGTGTGAGCTAGCTCTATAAAAATAGCTGCTGAGATGAAGCAGAAAAGAAGCAGCTGATATTTGGAAAACAAACATGATGGAAAGGAGGATTTCTTTTGATGTGCACATGAATGATTTGTGTTTCATCTGCAGGTGAAGGTAGGAAGTGATGTAGATGTGACTTAAAAGACCCCAAAATTATACAGTGAAACACCAAACAATATGGTGATCCTCTATTAGCAAAGATGGAGATTATAAAGAAACACACACTGACAGGTCAGGCAAAGGTCTGCTAAACAAGCAGAACACCACCTTCTCTCTAGTTTATGAGTTATCTGCTTCAAGGTAAACTTTTATGAGTTACACCAGGGAGTCAAACCTGTCCAATTAGCCGCTTTCTTTGTCAGAGGAACAAGAGCATCAAGAGTCATATACAGTGAGGTTTTGACAATATTAACAAGATAATTGACGTCAATTAGTTGCTCTGCATTGTGTTTAGAGATGGCACTGAAGAAAATAATGGTGGAATTATTTCTTTAACATTAGTTACAGCATTTTTAGATAGACATCTGCAAAGAAAAACAATCCACAGTGCTGTGTTGTCCATTATTTTAGAATTAAGTGTCATTAACAAATAGTCAGACAAAGAGATTTTTCAGTAAATATTTCTAAATGTCCTCTTTCTACTCCGTATGTCAGGAATATGGAGGACAGAGAGGAGGGAGTCCCTCCCTCTAAAACCACTCTGTGTGGGAAACATGAGAGCCAGACCAAAGCTCAGAGGTGAGATGACCATCTCTAACTGTCCATGACTCTTCTCCACATCACAGCTCAGCACTAACATCACTGCTCCATCATTATTCACAGAAAAAAACGCAAACCTGAAACTGGATCCAGCTGTGAGTCTGCCAAAAGTGAGATGTCAACAAATGACGATGTTAAAAGACAGTGCACCTCTGAATCTAAGTAAGCTTATATTACTTTTAGAACAGTTGTTATTAACGCAGGGATAATGTAGTTAAAGTGCTGCAAATATGTGTTCATTTTTTTTTTTTGTTGCTGTCAGGATCACTCAGAGTCCAGGATTTCCTGAACCTAAACCCAGCTGTGTGTCCTTGAAGAGCAACCAGTCAAAGGGCATTGGAGAAACCTTTAAAGCGGAACTTTCTGAGATAGAGAGGTATTGTGTACCTAAAGCTGTAACTGTGTTTGAAGCTCTTTTCCCCACTAAGTGTAAAGAATCGACATGATGGGAGCCATTTATGTAGGGAAGAGTATCTGTAGGACTCCAGCTCTTCCAGCAGATAATCTCCATGTGTTGTAGACTTATTAAAACAATTCTTATATCCATCCATCCATCCATCGTCATCCGCTTTGTCCGGGGTCGGGTCGCGGGGGCAGCAGCCTAAGCAAAGAGGCCCAGACCTCCCTCTCCCCAGCCACCTCCTCCAGCTTGTCCGGG